CACTCACACACACACTCATACACACACAGTTACACATACTCACACACACACACACACACAGACACACACACACACAGTCTCCAGGCATGATGCTATTTGGGGCAATGATGGAAACTTTAAGAAAGTGGGTTAAACTAGAGAGAGTAGTCTGATGGAGGCATGCTCTCGAAGGTCTAATCATATCCCCAGACCCACTGTCTCTCCATTTCCTGACTTGCATGAAGCGAGTACATTGTCTTCTCTTCTGAGATACCCTGCCCAACCACAGGCCCAAAGCAGAGGAGACAAGCAACCACAGAAACCTCTAAAATTGTAACCCGAAATAAACATTTCCTTCTTTTCAGTTGTTTTTCCCTAAGTATTTGTCACAGCAGTATAGAGCTAACACAGGCAAGCATGGCAGTCAAGATCAAGAAGAAAGGGAAGGAACACAGAACAAAATGCATGGAATTTTCCATTAAAAGCCGCAGATCATGCTAAGATCTTGCTACAGACTCTACCAAAGCCCTGTACTAGGGATCTACAGGACTACATGTGCAAGAACCTCCAACCACCCCGTACATGCCGTCGGCACCATGGATGTGTCTACCGGTGCATCGCAACACATACACCCCCACGCCCAGCCTGCAAAGTGCTCCCGGGCACAGCACAAAGATCTCAGCGGCAACCACATATCTTACGTGCTTGCCTCAACTCTGACAATTGAGAAGGAGGATGCAATTCAGACTACTGTCGAGGGAAAAGAAATAGCAGTCTATCAATACCTGGCACTGAAGGATTAAGAGGGGAAAAAAAAATGTACTTCTAGCCTTTATCACATAAGAGAAAACAAGTGAGAACTCTGTAGAAAAGGCCTGAGAGATCTCAAATTTTCTAGCTGGGCTCATTGGTAAAGGCCCTTCTCTGCCAAAGCTAGTCAGTAAAGAATAATGTGATCTCTTCTTTAAATGTGAAGGCAGCCACAAAAGCTGAAAAGAACTCAAAGAGTCAAAGAGAATATGACCCTGGTGGATAGAATCCAAGGAAATGGCGGTCTATCGTTTTCCTTACAAATAATTTAAAACAATCACTTTAACCAGCAAGTTACCAAGAGTACACAGAGGGGCAACTAAACAAAATCCAGAAAATACCATGTGAACAAAATGGCAAGTACAATAAAAAAGAGTAAAATAGAAAATTTTGTGGCTGAGGAATAAAATATTTAAAGTAAGCACTTCAATAGATGGCTTCAATAGCAGACCTGGTCAAGAGAAAGATTCAGCAAAAGCAGAAACATATTTGAAAGTATCCAGTCAGAAGTGAAAAGAATAGGAGGCTATGGGCTATGTGGGACACCATAAAACAACGTACGGACTCTCAGAGTTCTGGAAGAAACAGAAAAAGAAAGACGCAAAAGCCTTTCTTAAGCTTAGGAAAATAATGCCAGAAAAAAAAAAATCCAAATGAGAGGGTTCATAAGGAGGTCTTTCCTGAAATGACTGTGACAAAATCCACCACTCAAAAGTCATGAGCAAGAATTTACCATTCCCCTCACGCACCAAAGAATCTCTTGGTAAGACGGGAAAGAATGGGGTGATATTTTCAAAGTGATGAAAGACAGAACTATGCAGACTGCAAAAGCAGTCCCTCAGAAATGGAGAAGAGATACTTTCCAAAACAAAAGCTGGGGGAGCTTGCGGTTCATAGACGTGGCCCATAAGGAGTACTGCAGGTCTGAACTAAAAACATGAAAACATATCAAAGTTTAAAACACACGGGCAACTGAACTACTTAGGCAAATTCAGCATCCTATGTAAACAACCTTAAATTTTAGTAGAAAGGTTAAATACAAAAGGATTAAAAATGGCTATTGAGAGAGGAATTTGCTGGTGGCTATACAACACACTATGCAAATTGTGACCTTAGTAACAAAATGTGGAAGAAGGGTAACAGGGTACGGCCTTTGAATGTACTCAAAATGACACCATCAATTTTAATGGACTACAATAATGTTCTTATGTAAATGTAAGAAAAACTAAGAGTTTGGCTTTTACGTTTGGTTTACTATGAAAATTTTAATAAGCTTTAGCTAGATCAAGAAAGAAAGGGACACAAATATGATTCTAAATGAAGAGAAACATGATTCAGCTGGCACCAGGGGAATGTAAACAGTCAAGAGAATAATGACACACCAACTAATTGCATGGAAAATGGATTAAAGTTCTAAAAATACTCCTATAGAAGCCTACCAAGACTGAACTATCAAGTGAAAAATCTAAGCTGATCAATAATAAACAACTAAATTCAATCAGAAAAAAAAAAAAAAAAACCTGCTGGAAAAGAAAAACCTAGAGACAAATCATTTCACTGTTACAACACAATTAAAAAGGATTGACAATATTTCTCAATTCCTTTCCCCCAAATCAAAGGCCAGGGAACACTTGCCAATTCAGTTTAACAAGTCTTGTATCATCTTGATACCAAAGCCAGATGAGGACACTATATGAAAAGAAAATTAGCAGCCAGTATCCTTAATGTGCATAAATGTAGAAATCCCCAATAAAACCCCATCTCACTGAACTGAGTAGCACACTAAAAAAACTATAGACTATGATCAAAGAATGTAAGGATGGAATGTAAGGATGATTCAACATGTGCAGATAAATGTGATAAAGCTTCCATTGCTGCTGCTGTTCCAATCAAAAGATCCAGCCAATCTGCCTTAATAGTTTTCGTTTCTCCTCTTCAGGAAGTGGCTGGAGCTAGTCTTGATGTGGAGCGCCACACAGACCGCTGTAGCGAGAGCTGTCTCGATCTTGCAACACGGTACCAACATCCTTAGACATCTCTGTGTATTTTGTCTATCAGCCTTCTCTGATCCCTCCCTACAACTATCTGAGCTGATCCTCACAGTCTTGCCAGCCCGTTCACATTCTAGTAGCCTTGGCATTCTTTGGGGACTTAAACCACCCTTCCCATCTGCCCTCCACAGCTGTCTAGTTTCTGCCTCTACAGTGACCATAAGCAAACCCGCCACCCCCAGCGTCCTTCCTGCACCCTGCGGATCCCTGTATGTTTCAGCTGTAGCCTTGTGGCTGTATGCACACACATCTCCAACTGTAGCCCATCTGCCCATCCACATTCAAGGCCTAACCACAATAGCATCTTCCCTTTATATAGATAAACGTCAAAATATAAGACGAGAAATAATAAGACTCTTAAAAGAACAGACAATACATTCATGATAGGGCACCAAAGGCACGGATTTCCTCTATAAGGTTTATTACGCTGGCAAATTGTCGTGTGGTTTAAGTTTACTCAAAGCGGACTCTAGTAGTGGAGAGACCCTCCACTCTTTCTCCTAAGCCCCCTGCCTTAGAAGAAACCAGGCTGGTCACCCTGGAGAGGAAAAAAAAAAAGCAAGCAGTAAGCAGCTAAGGGTATCATGAACACTGTCCCTGAGAACAGCTAAAGTCAGTCACTTTCAACAGTCATCGCTATTGTTTATCTCCAGGTATGAACACCCCTACAGTGGGATCCCAGAGACCACAGAAACTCATCCATGGAGAGAAAGCTCAGTCAACCTGCCCGGTCAACATTTGCTGGATGTGTGTAAGCCTCTAATTGGATGGTGTTGCCCTTCCTTGCTCGCTCAAGCAGGCAACTCCCATCAGCTCTCCAGGTGGTCATGACTCCTGCTTTGATGATATGTTGCCGTTTGCTACTTCTCCCTAGCTGGTACTTGCTATTGGTTCTTTTGCTTGCTATAAATTTAATAAATAAACTCATTCAAAACTGAAACTATGGCTAGTATAGATCATTCACCAGACCATACAGAATAAGATCAAATGAAAATCTTCTGCATAGCAAAGGAAAAATCAACCTTGGGAGTGCAATAATATATTTGCAAAACATAGATCTGGCAAGGAGTTAATATCTAAAGTATTTATATGGAATCTTTACAATTCACAATAAAAATACAATTTAAAACACAATTTAAAAATAAAATGAAATCACCTAATTTTGAAAATGAACGTGGAGCCCAAAAAATGGTCGAGCAGATACAAAGAAGGGTGCTCAATATCAGTAATAAGGAAAATGCAAATCACAACCAAAGTGGGGCAAAGGGGTTTTGCTTATCTTTGTTCCTGCTCTCCACAGAATCAAAGTGGAGTTTCTAGTGGGTCAGTAAGAGCTGAAAACACTACACGGGAAATTCCGGAAATGAACAATTCCTTGTCATAACTTACAGACCACTCTGAGCAAGCTCCTGAAATCTTCCGCTGCCTTGCTCCATCATGGCCTAGGACGTATACTCTCTCTCTCTCCAGTGTGTCTGCAGTGTATACACTACTTGCTCAGTAGTCACTTAGCAGAATGTCTGCTGTCACATCCACTGCTGTGGTATGGTAGCACTTGTGTGTAAGCAATACTTATTCTAGTGAGTATGGCCTTATTCGTGCATCGTCAGTACAAGGGCGGTGATGGCAGCAGCTTGGAGAGGCCAGGGGAAGGCTGGAAGGTACTCCATTTAAGCAAAAATTATGAACTTCTCGAGACATGAAATAACCACATGGCAAGGTTTGTAAAATCTATGAGATTGTGAAGCCAAAAAAGGAACTTGTGTTATTTTTACTGTTCCACCACAGACTACAGAGAGAGTCATAGTGCACAGAGAATGTTTTGTCATGGCGGAAAGATATTAAGTGTGTACACAGGCATAGGCAGCATCTGTGTGTGTGTGTGTGTGTGTGTGTGTGTGTGTGTCCCGATCTGTCTTTGTGCAGCTCTCTCTCTCTCTCCTCTCTCTTCCTCCCTCCCGGGTGTGTGTGAGAGTTCTCGGTTTCAGACATCTACTCTGGGTGTATGACATTTAGCTCGTCCCCTGCAGTAAGGGGAATGACTGTCACCTCACATCCGTTGGGTTTGGAGGAGGATGCCACAGCCCTGGGAGATCATATAAGTTGGTAAAGATACCATAGAAGACAGTAGAAATGCAACTAAACAAACGACCTTTGGGAAATAAAGGTACTTTAATGAGGTTAACACACCAAATTTATATAAATCCAAGTTCAATTTGTCTTTTTTACCCATTTTCATGCAAAATAACTTTAAAATGCATATCATAATAATTTACCAGAAAACTGGAAATGTGTAAGAGAGAAACCTAGTTATAAGTTATGCCCCCACACAATAAAATATTAAACAGCTAGTTCAAAGGCAGGTCTGCAATTAACATGTAAAGCTGAAATCATGATGCACACTCCCATTTTTGTACACACATGAATACAGAAATACATGGGCAAGATAGGAAGAACACAGTGAAAACTGTCACAACACTAATTCTTTCGGGGTTGTGGACTCAAAGGTAATTTCTGCTTTCCTTTATAACTTTAACAGACATCCTGAATTTTCCTACATCTGTATTGCCTTTATAATTAGAAAAATAAAGCTCTTTGAATGTTCAAAATTGTTCTGACATCTGAAAGGTCATGGACACTTTTTTTTCCAATAAAAGCAAATGTACACGACCTTCTTTGTGATGAAGAAGCTAGGAGGTGCGCGTCGTAACTGCTGTGTCAACTTGATACAAGCGAGGGTCTGGAAAGAGGGAACCTCGGTTGAGAATACGCCCCATCAGCGCAGCCTGCAGGCAAGTCTGGTGGCTGTTTTGTGGAGTAATGGTTGCTAGGAGGGAGCCCAGCCTACTGTAGGCAATGTCACTCCTAGGTTGATGGCCGGGGTTAATATAAAGCAGGCTGGGCAGGCCAGGAAGCAGCATTCCTCCAGGCCTCTGCCTCGGTTCCTGCCCTGACTTCTCTCTGTGGTGGACTACCAAGGTCTGTCAGAAAAATAAACCCTTTCCTGTCCAAGTTGCTTTTGCTCGTGGTGTTTATTGAAGCAGGAGAAAGTAAATTTGGAAGGTGGTGAATTTCCACAGCACTGTGAGTGCCTTGGGGCAGGAATTCACAATGAAACGTTCTCTCCGACAGCTGGCTAGAAGCAGTTGTGTCAAGCCATGCCAGGAGCCAGATGTTATCTCACAGCCTTCTCCACAAACATAATGTGGAAATGGGACTCTGCCAAACAGCTGAGGCCACGGGCCCATGGAAGAGCCAGTGTGATACAAGCACAGCCATTGCCCAGGACATGGTTGCCAGCCCCCATCCTCAGCAGCTGCCTGGCGGTTAACCAAGTCCTATTTCTAATTGCTTTAAAGTGATCTGATGCAAATTGCTGGATGTTTCAGTTATCATCATAAGCTAATCTGTAGCTCTCAATTAACTTCAATTACTGCTTATTTTCCCTAAATGAGTTATCAAAGTAAATTATAAGCATCAAGAATGGCCCTGGACTTCTTACTGGTAAAATTTTAATACAGCAAATGAAGAATAAAAATCAGGTATAAAAACAGGCTAGTTTGTGAATTTACAAAAAGAAAAGATGTAATGAGAGTTATTCTAGAAAAGTGAAGGCCAAGGGCATGGGAGAAGACTGTGAATTAAAATTCCAGCTCTGACATTTAACTGTGTGACTGGAAAAGTGACATGGCCTTTCTGTGGCACAATCCTAGTGTTTGAAGGATGGGCATCAGATTGATCTCAAAGGATAGTGCGTGAGGGTTTCATGGAAAATGCTTAGAGCAGCACCTGGCATATAACAAACATTGAGTAAATGTTAAGAATTACCATTTCCCATAAACACCTAATGTACAAGGGGTGTGTGTGTGTGTGTGTGTGTGTGTGTGTGTGTGTGTACATACGTGCAAATTTGTGTGCATGTAGCCACACACACACACACACACACACACACACACACACACACAAACCTGTTAGGAAAGCCAGCTCAGAAGACTACGGAAAGCCAACTTAGGTTACCTTTTTCAGGTGACCCATCTGGCCCCTGGGCTTCTATGACAAACGCCAGTGATCAACAGTGACTGACAAACACTTGTGTGCCAGCGTCCATGACACTATCAGAACTCTGCTTCTGCCACTACGTGACCTCCCCTCCTGCCATTCATGACACCCTTCTCTGCAAAGGGGAGCAGGAACCGCCTCTTCTGTGTGTGGTGGGGGTTGCTTAGGACTCTGCTGAGAGACAGCACATGACAAGGTCATGCTTGGGGCAAGTCCAGGGCTGGTTCTGTAAACCTGAGTTCTTGGACGCTCTGCCCATGCAATCCTGCAGCAATCACAACGGGACTGTCTGAAAACCTATCTGCCTACATGTGACAGCAGACAATGCTTGAGTTGAGATGTTTTACAAGCCTAACAGTAGGCAGAAAGGTTTTGTAGGCTTGGGCTAAGAAGGGGCTGTACCATGTTTAAATCAGTGGCTAATAAAGGACCATATCCCCACCTGCTGACATTGATCGGCAGCCATCTAAGGACCCCCAGCCTGGGACCCCAGGTCAGCCAGGGATTTGTGCTGAAAAGATGCTTAAAAAGGCAATTTAGCATTAAGAATAACCATAGTCTTTTATGAACACAGTGCATCATGTTTATTGGGCTGTTCACAGGTAAGACAGGTAAGCTTAAAACAGGAAAAAACTGGATGCCATCAATAACGTCAAGAAAAAAAATCTTTAGCTTTCTTAGCTACAAAGGGGACCTTCCACCCCAGCGAAGGACTACACAGGCCATTTGTTCAGAGAGCTGCAATGGGCGCAATTTACATTTTTTAGCAACAAGAAGCAAATACATTGAACCAATGACTACTTAGAACAAGAAGAAAACTATCTTTATGAGTTAGAACAAAGAAATCAGTTATACAAATTAAATTGATACAAAATACATTATAAAGAAAACACACATACAAAAGTGATTAGGTGGGCCAGAGAGCGAGGATGTCACAGAGCGCCACACTGAGAGAACACTGGTGCGAATTCATTCAGTTAAGAAATTAGGTCCAAAAGACACATTTACCGAGGTAAAGGCACAATGACTTCCACATAATTAATGGGGAAGAAGCCAGATTCCCCACGTAGCATTCCTTCATACCAGTTTTCATCTATCTGACTGGTTAATGTAATGATGTCCCCTTCTTTAAATCCTAATTCTCCTTGGTTTTCTGGCTCAAAGTCATAGAGACCACGACAGCAGGGCTGGTCCGCGGAAATGGGAGTACCTGTCCACATGACATGGAGACAAAAAGTACAGGTTAACATAACAGAGAAACAAGAAATGGGGGAAGAGCCTGCACTTGTTCCCTGCCCACCCCAAGGCTGGCCTCCATTGCTCTCAGGTACTGTTTGTGGTCCCTGGCCTCCTCCAGCCACCTCGGCTCTCCAGCTGCCTTAGCCAAAGCCCCCTGTACCCATGCCTGTTGATTAAGTCCTCTGAGGAAGGGGACACATGTCCAGCCCATTTCCCCCAGGTGTAGGTACTCTTGGCTTGGCCCAAAGCCCAAAAGGGAAAGGCAAATCATGAGGCCAGGATCCTGCTCCAAAATGCTCAGATTTCCTTTGTGGTGGGGCTGGCTGGTACTTGGGAAAGCTCAAGGACAAAGCTGAGGTGGTGTATCACACATGTCCAGGAGTGCTGAGGTGGTAACGTGAGAACGAGAAGAGAGGAGCCACAACAGGAATACAAGTATTCACAGAGCAGACCAATATGGTCAAGCCTGAAGTTGCCTGGCAAAACTAAAATACAGTCACTGCAAAAGAGAAAATGTGAGCACAGATCTGAAACTAGTAGACCCTAACTCACTGACTCAGAGACAACCAGTGCGAAGCCTATGAATGCCAGGTGTCTGTATAAACATAGATCCGTGAATATTTTCCCATATATCTATTTTCATTAAATAATATTCTTGCACTTAGTACTGCAAACCTAGCCTAACATACAAATATCACCTACTGTCCAGCTACTGCCACATGTACCAATTTCCCTTTATTTTTGGCATCTATTATGGCCAGTCATTCTGAGCAGACCTGGTCTTCTTGAATCTATACTTGGATATCCTTCCTTCTTTCCCTCCTTCCTTCCTTCTTTCCTCTTTCTTCTCATCTCCTTGCCTTGTCTCTTTCTGATCATTTCTCTTCTCTCCTCTTCCCTGCTCCCTTCCTTCGTCCTTCCCTCCCGCCTGCTTTTCTCTGTCTTCCTCTTTCAGCCTCTCTGTTTTCATAGGTAACTCTGAAGAAAGCAGTGTCTGCATCCCTTGTCATATATGCACATAAACTCCTGCAGTTTTTCTTCAGAGTAACTGCCTAGAACAGGATTTAATATTCTACCTTTATTTTTAAAAATTAGAAGCCCTTCTACACTCCAAACACTGGGCCTCTAGCTGCCAAGGTTTGTACAAACTATTCCCAGTTTGTTTTATGCTTCCTTGCTTTCTGTTATTATATTATCACTATCATCATCATCATTTTTATTATTATTTTGCAGTTTGTGCTGGCAACTGGGCAAATAATAGGTTTTCTATTTTGCTTTGAAAAAGATAACTCCAAGGCCATCAAGAAGGGTAAATGAGACTTTTCATTCATAGTTTATCCTCCATGGCTATATATGGTTATAGCACAGAATTTTATTTCAGAATCTTAATTTTTTTTTCATGTTACAACTTTTATTCTTAATCCATTTTGATTCTGACAAAAAGAGGAAAGAGTTTATCAGTTTTAATAATGCTGAATACTGGTTATGACAATTTGAAAAATGATCCTTTTTTCTTCACTGGTTTCAAATACTGCTTTTGTATCTTACTGTTAAGGATGTTTCTACACAGCCCAGGCTGGCCTTGAACTCAAAGGGCTCCTCCAGCCTCCACTTCCCAAGTGTCGGAATTACAGGTGTGTGCCATCACACCTGCCTTTATCACTTAATTGCATGAGCCCTGTGGTCTATTTTGAGGTTTTCAATTTAGTTCAGTTGGTCCATTTGGTAACAGCACCACATCTCTTTTTATATTACAGCTTTAGAGTAAGTGTTAGTGACCAGTAAGGCAGGTTTCTGGCCACTGCTCCACTGCAGAATCTCCCGGCTGCTTTCACAGTCATCCGGGGAAACCTTTGGGACACTCTATAATTTCCATTTTGACTGGATTATACTTGGTATTTTTTCCTTGGAGTATTAAGAAAATTAATTGTAAGAGATTTCTGAAATGACTGACTGGCCATCTGAAAAGGCCATACTAATTCATGTACCATACTCTGACTCTGTTACTATTTTAAGGTTTTTGTGCCTGGACTTTTAAGTGAAATGACCTAAGCAGGCTTTGGAAACACAGTTTATTTTACTTTTTGGAGGTAAATATTTGTTCATTTTCGAGATGTTCTAAAGATTTTTCACAAATCCCTTGAGCATATGAGTTGGTGAATACAGGGCACTTCCCAGGCTGGCTTTAGATAAAAACCCATCAGGTCTCAGGTTAGAGGTGCCTCCAGCTCTCCGTAGCCCCACAGAACCTCAGAGGTTCTCAAAGTCGCCTGTGAAGGAGCTGAAGTTGTAGTGACAGGCCTCGGCCAAATGAGATGATGCATTAGTTGGAGGAAGGCTAGGAGCATAGAGCGCTGGTGAGAGCAAGACTGTCTCTAAGGAAAGGTGGTGGGAAGCTAAACCCCAACCAGACCACGTACACACAGGAAGGCCATAGGCATTAGCTGTAAATGAATCAAGCAAAAAGAGATCAGGAGACTCTCTGCCACCAACAGTTGCCTCCTGCTGTAAAAGGTTCCCTCGGGCTCCTTTCTGAAACTAGAGCCAGGAGAGGTAATTCTGGGAAAGGGGTGGGGCGGGGGAGGTTCCCAGAGCAAACCCGATTTCCAGTATTCTGACTGAAATATATGACATGCTTTTCCTTCTACCATTCAATTTTATGGCTTCCATTTTTATTTCTTTTTTCTATTGCTATTAGGCCAATGGTGGTTTGAATGAGACTCACATATTTGAATGTTTGGTTCCCAGTTGGTGGACTGTTTAGGAAGGATTAGGAGGTGAACTCTGAGATTTCAAACATGCCCAACAGACCTAGTCCTCCTCTTCCTCCTTTCTTTCCCTCCCTTCCTCTCTCTCTCTCTCTCTCTCCCTCTGTCTCTGCCATCTGCCTGTGAATCAGGATGTAAGCTCTCAGCTACTGCTCTGGTGCCATAACTGCTTGCCTATGTCATGTTCCCTTGCCACGATGGTCATGAACTAATTCTCTGGCTGTAAGCAAGCCCAAAAGCTTTCTTTCACAAATTGCCTTAGGTCATGGTGTCTCTTCATAGCAATAGGTCAGCAACTAAGACAAAGCCTCCCTTCCCACCTTTAGACTTCGCAGGAGAGTGGAAGATAAGAGATTATATCCCTTCCCTACCAAATCTCTGGGGGTCACATAAAGTAAACTAGAGAGAAAGAATGAGAATGCATTTGGGTATTTCTGCTGTTGGCCAGGGATGACTCCCAGACTGTTAAAGCAGGCAGGCGCTCTAACAATGTAGGTTATATTTTTAAGATTTCTAGATCTTTCCAACCTGGGGGAGCGGACTGAGATCCACCAGTGCCACGGCCTTCCCTGCATCCACAGTTATGTTTGGAAATGTATGGAGCATCAGTTGCTAGGCAAAGAGAAAGCAGTAGAGATGGGGCCTTTCCCTCTGCTGAGAGCAACCCCTCCTTTCAGGTGATGCACGGACTAACCGGCCCTTTGAAATCTGGTCCTATGCACACAATGACACCCGGGCCTCCTTCCGGGAGAGAACTCATCCCAGCCTGAGCGTAAATTCCTTTTGTCATAATGATGGACACTGGAGAGGCACCTTTAAATACTGGGGCTTATAGTTTCCTTGTTCTAAATTCTACAGAATAACAATCAATGATTCCAAAGCACAAGGGAACTGAGAATTTTCCATTTTTCCTTTGGTCACTTAGTACTTAGGGTGGGTAGGCTTGGATTCTGAAAACTGGGACTGTGAGTCAAAATGAGCACCACTGAAGTACAACTGTGTTGCTGTGGCATGTAAAAATGATCAGGTCCTTTCCAAGTGCCTGCCACCACAAGATTTCACCGAGGAGGAGACAGCTGGGACAGCACAGGAGGCTCAGAACGTATCTCCTCCAACACAGACTGTTTAGGCGGAAGGCCATCAGGGAGTCTTGCAGAAACCCCCCCTGTTTTGAAAAGGTCACAATGGCCTGCAATCGAGTCAGAAAGGAGCACCAAGGTTCCCCCCAAACCATGAGCCCTCACCCTAAGTCACCTTTGGCACACCTATGATGCTCCTGAGGCACTGTGTGTGTTAACTCACTGGTGGTGCGGTTCGCCACCTAGCTCTCCCTCCCACTTACTCTATCAGCCACCTGTGATGACCAAATACATATAAAACAACCCACAAGCACACATCCAACACACACAACACACACAACACACACACATGCCCCCCGTATGCACACATACATTGAACAAATGAGGGAACAGACATATGACTCACTTCTCACTTCACTCATTACAGGCCGCTCTGACATTCCGAGGTGGGCAGTGACCAGCACTCATACCACACCGCACCAGCAAATAAAAACTAGGCAAGGTGCCGCTCGTGAGACCACTAGGAAGAGAGACTCCATAAAGGAGCTTCCCACCGCTCACACCTTCACACCCTTCCTGCACTGTCCGGTACCAAGCATGAACCCTAGCTGTAGACACGTGTGATGCACCCTGACCCGAACTTGGGCTAGCTGGCCTGGACTACACTTGCTGGCAGTACAACTACAACATTCTGAAATACCTCTTGATACGTTTTTCATTCTGGGTCATTTTTGTTACCTGGAGCCCTCAAGCAAGTAAGCCTCCCTTCTACAAAGGGAGCAATTTCAGTTGTGAAATGCTGTGGCACTCATGGCTTTCAGGCTTTAGTGCTGGCAAGATGTAAGAAAAGAGGCAGACGCTGGTTCAAAAGAACCAGAGCTTGAACACCTCAGGGCCTAGAGATTTTACTTTAATCCATGGAGACGGAGGGGCTGTGTCCTAGAGGTAGAAGTTCCTCCTGGAGCTGGAGGGGCCTGGAGACAGAAGACGGTGGCCTACAGAGTGGAAATGTTTTATCGATCACACCCAGAGGATGGCATTGCCCCCACTTCCCACTGGAACTCTGGGTCAAGGTAGGCTACCTGAGTGCTCTGAGCCAGGGAAAACCAAAGAGGAGCTTCAGG